TCTTAAAAAAAAATAAGATGAATACGGTGAACAAATACAATGGATTAACAAGTAAATTTGTATCTGGTCTCTCCGTAAACTTGACAATGCACATTGCCAGTTCCATTATGTAAGCAGTTTTCTGTTCCCTCTTACTATTTCCTCTTCAGTCTAACTTATCTTATAAAAGAGTTTATTTTCTGTCCGTCACGTATTGACTGTGTGATTTTGCACACGCATGTTTAATGTACATACATGTATGTGTTGTGCCGGTTGACTCGCTTCTACTTGTGTCTCTACGTTTTTTTTTTTTAAGAACATACAAGAACACACGTGAATTATTCAAATGACTTACTTGAAATAAAACATAAAATCAGTAAAGATAACCTCGTCCGAGTTATAAAAGCAGATTGGAGACATAAAAATAAGATTTTATTAAATTTTCCGACAATTCTTTCGTAATGAATTGAATATATTTAAAGATTTTGTTTTTAATTTTCTAGAAATATTTAAAATTTAATTCAGCGTAGAGTGCTTAATTGTAAATAGGTAATTGTTTTGAGGTTAAATAGGTAATTGTTTTGAGGTTAAAAATCATGCATTTTTGGTGATCGGTTGCACTATATCCAGGTAATATTTTCGATGGTGGGGGGAGGTAAAATTCATACATATTCGGTGACTGTAACTTATTTGGTAGGCCTACATTTTCAAGGTAGCTTTCGATAAATTTAACGGTACAAGTAAGCTCCTTTAGCATTCTGTGCTGGAATTGCATTATAAGCCGTAATCCTAACAAAAGGTTACAATTAGATACGTAATATCTCAGCTACGTAAACGTATGGTACGAAGAATGCAAATTTGAGATAAGAAAAAATCTATTAATTCTTCATTTATATAAAATATGCTAAAGTGGCATACACAGTGGATGAGGATTTTGCTCTTCATGTAGCGACAAAGTGAAGAAATTTAGGCTACGTATGAGGCAGTCCCAGGGTTAAAGAGCTACCGTAGTCAGGCATAAACGAAAACTAAAGTAAGGTATGTCAATCTTTGTATCAGATATTTTACCGTAAGCGGTTTTTCTAACTATTTTGGGGTAGCGATGTCCAAAAAAGAATGAATACCATTTACTTGCTATAAAATATGTCCAGGATAATGCCAAGAACTGAAATATTTGACTACTAATATTGCTCAGATGCTGGAGTCGCATTATACAGGAACTATGAAAAATTCAGGTTTTTCACAAAAAATTCAGAGATCGCCCTATACATCAAGTGCGCTTGTACACAAGTATATTAAAATATGCCCGCGCAAACGTACGTAGCAAATTTGAATTAAATTGACATCTGTGTATCACTTTCTGGCAACAATCTCTGTAACCGGAAGTGTTTAAACCAGTCCTTTGAAGTCATATCTATGACTCGTATTTAAAATGAATATACATTTCTAATTAATGAAGGAATTTTAAATATAAAATATTTAGACTGGAAATTTGGTGATTAATGTCTGTGAAGTGTCAGTGAACTAGTAACAATTATCTCTATCTATAAAAGGCAGGATGTGTGCGTGTGTGTAACGAATGCACGACCGCAATTTTCGACGATTTGCACCAAAATTTACATGCACATGCTCCAAGTTAGCGGCAAGGCCAAGACCGACTTTGCATTTCCCAACTCCCATCGATAGCGGAAATATTCGATATTTTCATGCTTCTACAGCAGTTTTCATGTAGTTTGCGGCCATTTTCTAATGGCCAGAGTGAGAGCCAATAGCTGGCTGCCACGAATAGGCAGGAATATTCTATTGGCCAGCATGAGAGTCAACAGCTGACTGACACGAATGTTAACTGTCATGCTAGAATGCAAAAAAATCGATAGCTGCATTCGTCACAAGTGAGAAAAATTTAAATCTGCATGGCACTTTACTCCAATTGGCTCATTCGCTTGCTTAAACTCAACGTAGATTCTGATTATTTTGTGTTCATTTTGTTTAGTTCTTTTTTCGTAACAGATTTAATGTTTAGTATAGAGCTTAGAAAAAATTCGCAGTGTGAGATAGGCAAGAATTAAGGCATGTAGCAACATCAGCACGGCAAAGGGCACTCCTTTAAAGGCAAGGAAGGGCAAAATATTTTAAGTCAAGTGATAACGATTGCTGTATGAGTCGTACGATTTTTGAATCAAGCACGGGCAACGCCAGGCCATGCTGCTAGTACCGTATATGACTTAGTAAATTTTAATTAATTCAACTTCATCCCTATTTGAAACGTCAAAAACAAAGGCAAGTAACTCGCTATTAAATTATATCTTATTAGAAATACATTAACATGAGCTAATTAAGTATCACCAATAGATTTCAAAAACTATGATCTGATGGCATAAATTTCTCTGTAATCTTATGTTCGATAAGAGCCTTGATTTAATCTTTTGACTATAGGGGATCATGTAACAATGCAAATATAATGAACGAGCATATATGTGTATCTTTACAGCTATTCGTTTTCACACTTTTCTTCCGCATTTTACTTTCGGCTATTTTTTCTCATCCTTTTCATCTCTTGTGCATTCTTCCGGGAGATATTTAGTGACATCAAATCATTAGTGCATGAGACCCTATTGAGTGAAATAGGAATCGTTATATGATCATCTTCCGTGTGAGCTGGGGATCTTTAAAAACATTCAGCATTCGAACTCCATGACTTTTACATGGGTTATTTCCGACATCGGTAACAATTACTCAAGAAGGTAAAATTTGACTGATTAGGCATCGCTTAGCCTTGGAAATGGTGTTTAATAAGGTAAACGGACATGCAAAGATTACTTTACGCCAATATTCCATTCGGCTAGGGTGCAATACTTGAAAAATCAGCATTCATTGAATATCCAGTTCAATAACACTGACATCCCTAGCAATACCTAATTACCTCAGCCACGAAGTTAGAGCCCCATTCGTATTTGGTACGCTATATGCATCCCATTTATCTCCAATGGATTTGTTATCAATTCATGTTAAGGTCATATGATCTGACCCATGTATATTTAGACTTTTTTTATTAAAAGTATTGAGTTGACGTGAGATTTCAAAATGAAAGTTAAGTATCGTTTATCATAACACACACACATACACACAAATGTATATTTGGACAGAACCTTTCTTTTAAACATCTTTCATTAAATATGGCAGACAAGGAAGATTTAAATAGTTTTTTTTATTTAGTTTTTCTAGCATCCATGTAGGAGTAAAGGAGTCGGTTATGTGCCATGCGTGATACACACGTAGGCGATCATGTATCTCTAGATACATGACTGATGAGGCAGATTTTTCCCACAGTAGGTTGCCATTTCTTTCTGCAGTAGACCAGGTGCCATCCAAGGCTATAGAATCCAGCCTGTCTTGCTATTTACCCATAGCTTAGGGGAGAAGAAGAAGACTCATACCTTTCCTAAGGGTATTAGCACTTGAGTGAATGTAATGGATTCGACTGGAATTCGAACTCGGCTCTCCGATTCCTCAATCCGAGCAGCTATGCATTACTTCACCGGCCACTCGACCATGCCTTTAGCTATTTGGAGGCATGGTCGGGTTGCCGTTTCGAGATCCGGGGTGGGGTTCTGTTGTACGTTGCGTTATAGCAATCAGGGCGTCAGTACTAAGCTTGGCATCAATATGGTTAACTGGAGGGAGCTTCAGCCGATCATTTTGATTAAAGAGGGTTGCCCGGTCGAGGGCTGAAATACTGCAGTAAAGAAGTACAGAAATGTTTCATAATCATTGCTCTAAGCGCTTCCAGCCTTTTGGTGTTGTTAGTTTTCCTCATGTTTTGACTGTTTAAGTTGTATTTTATTGTTCTGTTGTTTTGAATAATTTCGAAAGAATTAAAAATGATGAAAAAAATAATAATCAAAAAATATTTTCGTCTTTCCTCTTAGTAATAACACAAACATTTTGACGATAAAACTTTTTTTCATTAAGTTTGGAGCATTTTTTCATCATAGTATGCTGAAGTTTTTTCGATTTCGTGGTGACACAAAAACTAAACCATTATCGCTGAAAAATAGCTTCTTAATGTAAGACTGTTCTGGCTTTAAATAACCTGTAAATAGTTTAGCTGTAGAAAAAAACAAAATAAAAATAAAACTAAAAAAATATATATATATATATATATATATATATATATATATATATATATATATATATATATATATATATATATATATATATATATATATATAATATATATATATATATATATATATATATATATATATATATATATATATATATATATATATATATATATATATATATATATATATATATATATATATATATATATATGTTACTGATGTTTTTTAGTTTTCTTTATTTGTTTTATTCGCTTTCTACAGCTAAACTATTTACAGGTTATTTAAAGCCAGAACAGGCGGTTAAGACATTTTCTCTTTTTTTCAAAAACATTTTTCGTGCTAAAAAATAAAAAATAAGTAATATTTGTTTCCAATTAGATTAAGTAAACTTTAAATTATCTTATTTTACTCAAATAACTTTTGAAAAAGTATAATTTATTTTTATAAGATTTTTAAACGGAGAATTTATCATTGTTTATAAACTTCCCAAAATGGCGGACATCATCGATTTTAATGGTATTCTGCTGACGCAAAAAAGATTTTTAATCAAAACTTTGAATATTCTAAAAAGGATGAAGAAATTTAATAAAATAATAAAAATATACTTTGTTTTTTCCTCTTATATGTTTATTATACATTTAGATTATAAATTATTGTCATCAATTTGGGGGCATTTTTCATCATGGCTTGTTCTTTGTTTTAGTGAAACAGTGGTGATACTAAGTTTAGTTATATAAATATTACTAACACATGGCTGGGGGGAGAAGAGGTGGATTCATACCTCGAAAAGTGCATTTGCGTTTAAGTGAATATAACGCAGCCAACAGAAAAGTGAACACATTTCTCCGCTTAACAATTCAGCGTCATTATCTATTACACCACCGCACATTCAAGCTTACAGCACTTGGTATTTCCAAGCGTTCACCAATCTAGGTACTGACCAGACTCGACGTTGCTTAACTTCGGTGATCGTACTTGAATCGGTGTTTCAACGCTGTGGCCGTAAGCAATTTTATTTGAAATATATATATTTATTTCCATGGAAAATGAAAAATGTAACATTTTAGAAGAAAAACAAACTGTAAATTTATTTTAATAAATGGAAACATTATCAAATTGTGAAACGGCTGAAGAGACAGAACCAGACAAATTAAAAAGCCCAAGTGAACAGCCATCTTTGAAAAAGATACTAAAACAGATGAATTGTAAGAAGCTGGTTCGCAATATTATGAATATTGGCTTAAAGACTTGAAAATAACCAAACAACCACATTTCAGTAAACATCAAATATATGTGCAGATTTACACAAGAACAGATATCTTAATATTTGTGATAAGTGAAGAGCTACATTGTGTGGTTTAGTTGTCCCTTCGCAGAAATATATAATGTTTGCTTTTTCTTAATCAGTTCACCTCAAGCAAGGCCATAAAGTCACTAAGACGCAAGGAGTTACTGAGTGTTACAGAACATGAGAAAAGAACGCTATTAAGGAGAGACAACACTAGAACAAGAATTAAGAAAAAAAAGATCAGTTAAAGTTTTGAAGACGAAAGTTGACTAGGAAGGAAGAAGCTGAAAGTGAGTTCCACAAGTGAGAAAATAGCCGTGGAGCCATGAAGAAAAAAATGTAGCAAAATTCTTTTTGACATGAAATGAGAAGAAAATTAAATCAAGAGAAGAGTGTCTGAAGTCATGTGAAACGTTTCATTTCTATTCACTGCATCAAATGTTGAAGTTTTCGCCAATTATCGGCTTTTAACCGAGCACGTGGTACTTCAAAGAACTTTGTTAACAATCCACGAAAGCTAAGAATTTCAAATCATCACTCTTCGTCTACTTTTGATATATATGCAATCGTATATCCCTTCTGTGAGCAACAAACTCTTGTCTTTGTTTTAAACAATTTTGAATATTTTGCGTTAGATCATTTAATCTATTGTATGAACATTTCATCTTCATGAAAATTCGTTAAAACTACGAACTTTAAAAATGTCTGATTTATTTTCCTGAAACGAGTTAATGACAAATTCAAGCGCGTAAATCCGTAAATAAATTCCTTGTTTTTTTTTTTAAATTACCTGTGTGTTTCCTCATAATTATCATCGTTCTTTAATATTCCTGAGGTGGCTATGTCAACAGTACATTTTAACTTCGAAGCCGCCACAACAATATAAATATGCATGGCAATGCTCCTTGACTTTGTAGAAATTTCAGTGTTTCATTTTACCAAAAATGATTAAGACATTTTCTTTCGCTAGAAATAAAAATACGTGTAAGCCATCGCCGAAACAAAATAGTTTCAATCCTGATTTTTAATTTAAAACTAATATTAATCTATGATCTCTTTCATTTCCTTACATAGTACCATTTCAATGATTTTACATTTTTTTCAGCTATGTTCTAAGTTTCATATTAGCATTGATACGCTTAGCCTGCTACACAAAAAACAAAACAATAGAGGACAAAGGAGGATTATGTTACGCCAATCAGGCGACGACCAGTCAGCTTCAAGTACTCAATATTCGACATTTTTTATCTGAGACCCCCATACCGGCTTTAACATAGCTTGGAAATCTCTAATTCAAAGAAGCAATGCCACAATTTTACTTCGTTCTTTCTAAGTTGTCTTTTTCATTCACTATTACATTTCTTTTTCTTGTCTCACAAAAACGAAAAATAAAAAATCCTGATTCTTTCATTTACTCATGTCCGATCAACTCCAGAATGCAGAATTAACTGTAATTTATACCAGTGCCTATTCCCCAGCCTCATTCAGCTTTGATCGCAACATTCGATTGTGATCGCAAGACCTAAACACATGTGCGCGATTTCAAATAAGTGAAACACCTTGGCTCACTCTGTAGGCATTGTATTTCATTTAAATGGCGTACGCCATACTCAGCGCTCGTAAAACATTGGCGTATGTATAAATTTTGTCTGTCGCTTTGCTGCGGCGGTGTAGCTAGCAAATCTGATAAGACTGCTATTTTTTTTTCATGTAGTTCGACTGAAATTCTTACTATTCTACATAAGAACTTCCCAAGCTAAATGTAAAAAAAAAAAACCCAAAAACGCTACATCAAGTTTATACATGTCTATGGCGCACACATGCTTATTTAGGTAACAATTTATCATTTATACTTGTTTGCACAAAAAAACGAAGCTATTTTAAAGGAGTTTTTCTTCCATAATTTTGGGTAATTTTCGTTGTTAACAGAAACCAATGAATATAATCTATCCTATAAGTAATTTTGGCTATCAGAAGCCATTCTCAAAGAATCCTTGTTAATGTGTGCGTGACTATATATGCATTGTTTTGTGTTGCTACGTTTTTACGTGTAATGCTTTATTTTACATTATCATCCTACAAGTCTTTTTAGTCACAAAATATTCAGTCGTTTGTACATAAACTTAAAGTTTTATTGATTTGATTTTATGATTAATGCTTCTAGTATTTGTAGGTTTTATAGATTATGCACTATTATTTTATTGATAACGATTTGTCGAATTTACTTGTGTTGGTTGATTGTGTCAGTGTATGTATATTTTCTAGAAGTTGAAACCCGTAAAACCTTATTTTGAACTATTATAATCCGTGGAAAGTTTTCTATTTATTTATACATAGACTTACTTAGGTGTAAGACTTTTTCAAACACCCGCTTCGAATTCCTTTTAATCAATTGACTCCAAGCCCAGTGAAGTTACCACCGAGGCGCAGGGGAGGGGGCTAGTGAGAGTCAAAGAGAATGAGAAAACTTTACAAGGAAGTGAAAAGCTAATCTTAAATAGGAAATAAATGATATTACCGCTAAGGAAAATCAAGCAGTTTGTGTAAGAACAAAAATAAAACTTGAATGGAATAATAAAAACGAGACCTGGAAATGTCTTGAAAGTTTAATATAACCAGAGATCGATTTGAAATGTTTTCAAAATTTCGTACTGGCTAATAAATTAATATTCCTAAAAAAGCCTTCATAAGTTCTATAGTCATTGCCTACATTCAAAATGACGTCCGTACTAAAACACAATAAGGAATCGATATTAAAAGTTTGTGTATTAACTGAGTTAAATTAAAATAAAAGACCAAACTACTATTCTGTAAGACAAAATCCAATTCAAGTCATTTTTCAATTTCTCATTGACATATGAGTCCTAGCAATGCTCATTTTTTTTTCATTAAATCAAAGTCGAAATGCTCGCTAACTCTGGTAAAAATGTGTGTTATTTAAGGCAGGCAAGTGTATGACGCGCACATTCTACTTAGTTTAAATCGACGAGGAATCCAATGAATATTAATAAAATGTTGAAGGATAATTGATCTCTTATCGAAGTATATTCAAGATGAATGTTATACTGATGTACATGATATGGTAATTACAAATTTAAAATATTAATAGTTACGATTTAGTTAAAAGCCTCTACTCCAGTACATTTCTTTTTAGAGTCGGATTTAATATAAATTGAAGTTTTCTGTTTTGTGAGTGAATGTATTTCCGGTATGGTCTCCTAATTCGCAGATAAAATCATTCAGAATCGGCATCAGCTAGGAAAATTTCCCCTATCCTTTCGATCAATCTCAATTCAGATTTAAATTAACTTCCTAAAAGAGGTGGATAGACGTAATTTATCACGCTGAATCGGAAAGACTTCTATTATATAAAGTTCAGTTCCTTTATTCTAATTTGAATTTCGTTAATGATAAGTGAATTAAGATGCATAGAACTATTTTTTTTTACTTCTGCTCCTACACTTATATTTAATGCCTATGTCAAAAAGTGTTCATTTCAATGATATTGTATTCTAAAATATCAATTCCAAGTTTTAGTGATTAATGATTCTAACATTGAAAGATAATTCACATCTGCCTTTCTGAAGGCAAAATTTCTGTTATCCTTGAAACCGATGTCATGTCATTCAAGAATATTTGATTTGCATTTAAAGTTACCCTTTATCACTATGAGTCGGGCGTACTATATTTCAGCAATCACTGAAGGTGTAAGGTTAAGCACAGATAAAGGAATTATTAACAGTTTCAATTTATATTATTTTTGCCAACGGGGTATATATATATATATATATATATATATATATATATATATATATATATATATATATATATATATATAATATTAAATAAAATATTTAGAGAGAGACCGTGTCTGTTCGTGTAGATTCTATGAATACGCATATTATACAAATGCTTTTGTATTGTCAATCATGTTTACCTTTATCTCTTTATATCATTTCACTCGACGTTAGTTTCCTTTTGACATTTTTACACTGAGATTATCCATAAACGAATGACACTTGTCTGGTAATTGCTAGTTTGCCAAAATCTTCATCTCCTTCGATTACCTTATTTTGATTGGCTGTCACCTTCTATTCAATCAACTGGTGGTTTCGGCTGATTTCTCTAATGACCTATTCAACCCGACAGATATTTGAGCGATTTTTCTGGACAGTAATTTGTTGCGCGGCAATTTAAGAATTGTTATTAACTTTAGAATCAAATTATTTTCGAAGATACATCTTAATCTTTATCGCACATTTGGCAATAATTTGATACGTGAGAATAATGGATGAATTAATTAGTATACTTGATAAGCATTTTGGTTTTAATATTCGGCAGAAAATTTATTAATCTTCGCACAGTATTTGGACTCAATTAATCTTTGAACGCCATTTACATTAAGGTTTTCTAATTTAAAATCTGTCTCTAAACGTAATGCCTGAATGAACTCTATCATGCGAAAAGCCTGGGGGTCGACCGTGCAACATTCTTTTTTTTTTTAATTGCTCCTGCTCTTTTTGCGTGTGAGGTATTCATTTGAAACTGCAGATGTTACTTGAGATAGAATGCATAGTAAAACAGTCGTTCTAAAATGTAATTGTGGATGTAGAGAATCATTTTTCTTTCAATATTTCTTACCTCAGTAAATATTTGCGTGGAAGATTTTTGTAATTTTAGAGAATTACAATCTTCTTATGGCATTTCAATAAAAGTA